GGCCGCTGGCCGGAGCCGTGGCCCACCCCCAGTCTCTGGCCACCGGCTTGCCCACCGTGCCGTCCGTGCCTGCCGTACCGGGTGTCAACAACCTCACCGGCCTCACCTTCCCCTGGATGGAGAGTAACCGCAGATACACAAAGGACAGGTTCACAGGTGAGTGTGGCCAGCGCGCGCCCCGCCGGGCCCAGGCCCGGGCTCTGCGCCACCCCTTCCCCGCTCGATGGCTCCCCCGCAGCCCGCTCTGTGCGCCGGGGCACCTAGCCCCACTCCGGGCGTCCCCAAGTTCAGCCGCCCTTCAGCTTCCTGTGCTCGCGGAATCGCCATGCTCCGCGAGTTCTCCCAGCCTGGGCCCCTCTCTGCCTCTCCCGCGAGACCCCAGCTCCGAGAAGCTCTCCCAGGTCCCCTCTCGGGATCCCAGGGCCCGGGGAGGCAGAGGGTAGGGGGCCTGTGGCTGCGGGACTACCTTCCGCCGCTTTTGGGTCTCGGGAATGTCGCAGAAAAGGGTGCAATGTGAGCAAACTCAGCTTTTGCCATCCGGGCCGCCGTTCTCTGGCCCAGGCGACGAGCACGGCTCCCTCTCCGAGTTTCCGAGTCAGACACAAGGGAAGAACAGGTTCGCCCACCTCCGGCCTCTGTGCACAAACATACTTCGCGCTCTGAGCTCTGGGCCCTTCGCGCGGCCCGATCCAGCTGCCTGCCCGGCAGAGGCTTCGATCCGGGGTATAGCTGCTGAGCCGGCGGGCCCTTCTCCCCGGAAAGCGGGCTGCGTCCTAGGCAGTAGCAGCGCGGGCTGAACTGTCCGGAATGGCCCGTGCTTGGTTGTGCTCTGTCTGGGCTCAGCGTTGTCCCTGGGGTCCAGCTCCGTTCCCTCTGGCATGAATAATGCACTGTCCCAGGCGGCGATCGATCGGTGGCCCGGCCAGGAGGACGGCTCCTGGGACAACTACGCACACCGGCCTCGGCCGGCTGCAGCTCTCGCCTCTGCTGCTTGGATCTACCACTGCTCGCCCTGGCTCCCTCCGCTCCGCTTCCGCTCTCGAGTGGGCCCCTCTTCCCCACCCCTTTCTCTCATTCTTAGCGTTCCCCCATCAGGGACTGCGACCCTCTGTTGTGGGTCCAGGCTTCTAAGCTGAGAAGCAGCCACGAGTTGAGCCTGGATGCTTGCTAGCCTTAGAACCCCGAGACAGGAGGCCCAGGCCTCTGCTGGCCTGAAGTAGTGTTCCCAAGTGGCCGGGTTGCAGGGCCCAAGGGTGGAAGGAGATGGGGTGAAAGTAGCCAGGATGGGAGATGAAGCTTAGAGCTATACCCTGGGCTGGGTGATGCCATGACACCCCAGGTCCTGTTTCTAGTCCAGGCCGCCCAGGTGCGCAGAATGCTCCTGGAGCCTTGGCCCAGACTCTGGAGCTATGACAGAGGGAGAACAGCTGCTGAACTGAGCCTTCAGGAGGGGTCCCCTTTCCCTCCAGGGCCCCAGTGCCTCTCCTCTCACCTCTCCCAGCCCCCCAAAGCCTGGGGAGGCAGTAGCCTGGGCCTAGAGCCCCCCCCCCCCACTCCTTCCACCTAAACCAGACTGGGCTTGAAGGGCTGGACTGAACTCCAGCCTGGAGCCCAGTGTTCCCAGCTCTTTCCCCAGAGGGCCTGCCCAGGGGAGCCACAGCCCACCCCACTCTGCTTGCTTCAGGCCTGAAGAAGTGAAGTGAAAAGCATGTGTGTTGGGGCCAGGGAAGAGCTGGTGCCTTAGTTTGCCCTGTCTCCTGTGGGCCATAGCCTGTGTGCTTGTGTCTGTGTTGGTGGCTGTGTGTGTCCTCCTGTCTGGGTGTATAGATCTAGAAGTTTGTGCCTGTTGTATGTGATGTGTGTGTTGCTGTGTGATGGAGGCTCGGGTCAGGGCGTAGGGTCGGGGGGCTGCGACCCAAGCAGGGTCTCTTAATGTTAGGAAGCTTCTGGGAGACTGGACACCTAGGCCTGCGGGTCTTGTGACCTTTAGCTCTTCTCAGACCTGCCCCGCTGGAGGAGCGCTGAGGCAGCTGCGGCCTTGTCCGCTGTGGGCCCGCAGGAGCCCGGGGCTGGGGAGGCCTCCATGGTGGCGGCAGCTGCCTCGTCCTGGCAGGCGAGAGGGGACCATTCTTCCCGGGCTTGGCACTTAGGGCTGAAGGGAGGCTTGGGCCTCTGCTCTGCGGCCCAGCCGCTGCAGCTCGCTGACTCGCGGGGCGTCGGGCCTGGGACGCCTCCTGACGCTCTGCCGCTTGCCTCTGCCGTCTGTCTGTCTCCCGCTCCAGTGGCCCTCTCACCCTTCACTGTAACACGCCGTATAGGTCACCCCTATCAGAACCGGACGCCCCCCAAGAAGAAGAAGCCGCGCACGTCCTTCACGCGCCTGCAGATCTGCGAACTGGAGAAGCGCTTTCACCGCCAGAAGTACCTGGCCTCGGCGGAGCGCGCCGCCCTGGCTAAGGCGCTCAAAATGACCGACGCGCAAGTCAAAACCTGGTTCCAGAACCGGCGGACGAAATGGAGGTGAGCGCGCGGGCGGCCGCGGGCGGCCGTAGACTCTGGAGGCTTTGGGCTCGGGCCTCTCGGGGACGCACACGCTCCCTCCGCTCGCCGCCTTCCCACTGGGGCCTAGGAGCCACAGCCTCCCGCTAGGCTTGTGGGGAGCGGGAAACGACGGCGGCCGGCCGCCAGCCGGGAGGAGGCTGGGAGCTTCAGCTCCGGCTCTGTCTTCCGGAGACTTCAGGGCTCTCCGGCTCGGACACTCTATCAGTGTAGACGCGGCTGGGCTCTTCGCCGCTTGGGGAAACAGGCAGGCGGGAGCAGCGTCTCTGCAGTCCGGCCTTCCAGCTCCGTGATCTGAGGGGCTTTTTGTTTGCACAAAACTTCCTCTTGCAGGAGACCGGAGGCCGAAGGGCCCGCGCTTAGCTTCTGCGCCCCAGCTGGGGCCCCGGGCGCGCTGTGGCCCTGCTGACGGTCTCCTCCCCAGACACTTGGCCTCACGCAGCCAGCCCCCGCCCTGGAAGGGGAAAATCAATCTGCGCCGGCTGGGCCGGAGTTTCGCGGGTCCCATGAAAGGGGGATCAATTAAGAGCAGATGGGAGTGTGTGAGAGAGAGGCATTTCTGCTGCTCCCGTCGCACCCAGGCTGCACTTACTACATTCTCATTTTATTTTTTTCCGCGACCATCCACCTCGACCGCTCTCGTTTTTGCTGCTTCCCTCTGGACATGCAGCGTCCCCCACACTCCTAAACAGCCTTGTTCTGGGCACACCCGGTGCTTTCTCGGGTTGCACCCTCTCTTCCCCTCCCCCTCCTGCACCCTGCACATCTGGCCCGCACACTCGGTTCCACACTTTGGGGCCTCGGGCCGGCTGGCGAAGCACAGGAGAGTGGCTGAAGTTGGTGGTGCCCGCCGGGCCGGCCTCCGGGCGGGCCGGGAGGAAGGAATTGGAGTTTCCTCTTTTTCTGAATGAAGGAGAGGAATCTGCCCGCCTGTCGGGAGCAAAGGAAGCCACAGCCCCGGGAGTCTGCCCCCCCCAACATTCCTGCCGCTGGAGAAGGGGTGGGGGACGTGGCCTCAGACCTCTGGAAAGCTAGTTAAAGAGGGAGCGAGGGCTCGCGGGTGTGTGTGTGGCGGCCCTGGAGCCAGGCAGGCCAGGGAGGGGAGGGGGGACTTCAGCAAGAGTGAAGTGGGGAGAAGGGCAGGCAAAGAGAAAATGAAACACAATGGGGGGAGAGAGATAGGCACCCCAGGGAGAAAAGGAGGGGGGGAAAGTGGCCTCAAGGAGTCTTATTTATAATAAAGAAAAGCAACGGATGACTAACACAACCGAATTCGTTTCAAAAGAATTCCCTTAATTCTGAGAGAACGAAGGGGGGTGGGGTGAGCGAAAACAACAGATACGGACACAAAGCCTAAAGGAAGAAAAACATTCAGGCGGCTTGAAATGCAGGAAAGCCGGGGAGACAGAGGCAAAAAGACCCAGTGCGAGAAGGCCAAGAAGGCGCGGCCGCTCCGAGAAGCCCTCGCGGGCTTCGCGCGGCTTCATCGATCGCCTACAAATTGCTTCTGGAGGCCCCGGGGACTCCCATTAGGTCTGTCCACCTTAGAGACAGACGTTTGATCTCACTTGACGGGGTGGAGGGGAGGCATTAAATGGAGTAAGTGAGTCATCGCCTCCCAGGACCGCCTGGGAGGAAGCGGCGGCCCAGCGGGAGCCCCTGCAGGGCGCAGAGCGCGGGCCTCGGGCAGGAGGCCGGCGGCCTGGGAGAAGTGCGCAGAAAGCAGGGAGAGGAGAGGTTGGCAGGAGGCTCGCGTGCGCCTGGCCCTCGCCTGTCGGCCCCTCGTGGTGAGGCGGGTGAGGTCCCTCGGGGTGGGGACCGCGCCTAGGCTCCCTGGGGCCCGCGCAGGGTCCGAGGCCGTCTAGGCTGCCGGCTTCCTAGCCCCGGCTGCGCCGTCCAAGGCTGGTGGGGCGTGTGCTCCGGGTGGTCAAGGGCGCCCCAGAGGCTTGGGCCTAGCGGGCTTAACAGCGCTCCCCAGGGGCCTCTCCCTCCGTCCACTTTGGGGGACTTTGCCGCAGTCAGGACTCTCAAGGGCAGGTATGGCGTTAAAGGGGGCCGAGCTGCAGTGAGTTGCGCAGGGGAGCAGGGCCGCTTAGGCTCTCTCTCCCCGAGCAGCCGGACCCTGGGGAGGGAGGGAGCCGCGCCGTGTCCTGGCCGGTAACGGCGCGACGGCTTGTCCCGGTGCAGGCGGCAGACGGCGGAGGAGCGCGAGGCCGAGAGGCAGCAGGCGAACCGCATCCTCCTGCAGCTGCAGCAGGAGGCCTTCCAGAAGAGCCTGGCGCAGCCGCTGCCCGCCGACCCGCTGTGCGTGCACAACTCGTCGCTCTTCGCCCTGCAGAACCTGCAGCCCTGGTCTGACGACTCGACCAAGATCACCAGCGTCACGTCCGTAGCGTCGGCCTGCGAATGAGCCTCCGCGCTCCGTCCCCGCAGGACCCCGAGAGCCCAGCCAGGGGTCGCTGAGGCCCGAGCCAGGAGTCTCCGCTGTCCCTCCCCGCCGTGGACTGCCCGCGGGAGGTACGCCGCGGCCCTCCGCACCGACCCGTGCCCTCGCTCTTCCGTGGAAGAGGAGGCTGAGAAGACAAGGGTGCGCAGGACAGGACATGAGAAGCCCCCCAGAGGCCTGTGCGGTCCTGTGCCCACCGGAGCGGTTCAGAATCCTCAGTTTGCAACTATTTTATTTTCTTCTGATTTTTAACATGGGGCCGAGAAAGCAGAGGGAGTGGGGGAGGAAGAGTTTCTGGGCTCCCCAGGGCTGCCCCAGGGAAACCCTCTATGGAGGTCCCACTCCCATCACACACACAGACACCCGAACGCCCACCTGGAGGTAATGGCACCTTCCCTCCTGGTGTTACCCTAGAGCCACACACAGGAGGACCCATGGTAACACATGTAACACAGGGTCACAGTCTTCACGCCCTTGACTCTCACCACGAGGCACAGGTGAGGGGTCACCCAGGCTCACTCTGGGTAGCATGGTTTCCCTGCTCAAACACAAGGCCGTGGTCACACGGTGGCACATGACCCTCACACACAACAGCCAAACAGCATCACTGCCTTCCAGGCCCCCACCACACAGCCCAGCTGCACCCAGGTACGCACAGACAGGTTCCCACACACCTCACAAACTCAGCCCATTTCTCCAAAGCCTGTTAATAGGGGTGGGGGGATTAAGTTATGCACTTATAAGGTGTTTTCTGTGTAACCATTTTATAAAGTGCTTGTGTAATTTATGTGATAAATAAATAAATAAACCCTCCGGATCCAGAGTCAGGGCTGCCTGCACCTAGTTGAGTCCAGCACCTTGGAGCTACTCCGGTTTGGTGCTGGCTGGTGCTGCTGAGGTAGCCACTGGTATCTGGACTTGGGGGACCTGGGAGAACAGGAGCTGCAGACTCTGGAGAGAAGGAAGGAAGGGAACAGACCAAGAGGCCAGAGTAGAGTGAAGGGAGGAGAGCAAGGTCACTTCTCTCCTGGGAGAGCTAGTGTTTGAGAAGATACAGACGTCCTTGGGTGTGAAAAGTGTGTGTGTGTGTGTGTGTGTGTGTGTGTATTGTGTGTTTGTGATCATGTGAGCAGTCGGGATATTACTGATAGTGAATGTTTGTAATGATGTTTAAGTGTTTTGCAATTATTGTATGCAAATGATTCTGCTTAAATTGCAAATCGAAACTATCATTGCATGGGCTTGTAGTGGTGTGTGTGTAACCTTGTGTAAATCCGATTGTGTCTCTGGATAAATTTGTGATCACTGGTATTTGTGATTGTATATGAGTCAAATATCAGTGTGTGAGAGGACGTATTAGTTTCTCTTTGTAAATCTATTTTTGTGTTAAATGTGTGAATGTGGTTGTGTATCATCTGTAACTGTATCAGTGTCATTGTGTATGTGTGATGTAATTGTAAGATGTGTATTTTAACCGTGTATACATGTGTGATACCTTTGTGGGGAGTGTGGATCACTGTGGGAGACTGTCTCTGTGGAGTATGACTGCATGTGAGTGGGTTTAATTGTGCATTAACGCTGTACACGGTTCTGGGGGTTAAGGTGGTGTGTGCAGCTATGGTGTAACATCTGCTAGGAGTTTTGAGGATCTAGGCCCTGTCACAGCAGGCTGTAGCCTGAGGCACACTGAGTCAGGAATTCAGCCCAGGATCCTGACTGGTCTTCCAGTTCACAGAACTGGCTTGATACCGGTAGGGATCTGGAGACATGAATTCTCCAGCCATAACAGCAGACTCACAACATCTAGTTTCCATCAGACCTACTAGATCAATCTCAGGCATGCAAAACTGAATCGGCTCAGCTTTTCTGGAACGAGTCCTACGGTGTAAGTTTGGGAAACTCACGATTTTGTGTGTGAGTGTGTGGTGTAGTAGGAGGACCTTTCTTTGGAATGGAAGAGTGAGTCCTTGTGGATCAAAACTAGAACAGAGCTGTGGGGCTGGTGTGAGTGCGGAGCCGTCCTCAACTCACTGAGAAGCGTCACTGTGCTTCCTCCCTACCCAGGCTGCCATACAGGTCTTCCTCGCAGGACAAAGAGCGCAGCAACCTCCCACCCTAGGAAGCCACAGGGGAAAGTCAGCCGGTGGGGAGGGAAGGGAGGCAAGCTCATCTACTGCCTCACTTTGGGCCTTCTTGGAGCTGGAATCCGGCAGGAGACAGGAGTTGGGGTCCAAAGGACTTCAGCTGGCCTCCCTGTCCCTTCCTCGAAGACCCAGCGGTGCCATCTGGGCCCTAACAGGGTGTATTGAGCGTCAGGGGAGGGCCCGGCTGCAGCACCGAGTGACGAGCGGGTTGCCGCCGACACTCGCTGCCGTGGCCAGTGCCAGTTCGAGAGAAAGCCGCAAATGGCGGCGCCGGAACCACAGAATTCACCTTCTCTCTGGGCAGGTCTGGTGGCTTGGCTCACTCTGCTCCTACCGGAGCCAGAGGCCTCCATTGCATTTGCGTCTCAAGGCACCACCAGTGCCTCCGGGCTGCACCACCTGGAAGCTGCCAGACCCCAGGGGAGCCAGGGGCTCTTAGCCCCGATACCCTCTCCAGAGGCTGCTGTGTCCCAGGAGGCCTCTGGATGTTTTCAGGCTGTGGACTGTCTAGCCAAGGAGCTGACGGTGGGGGGTGGGGAGGGGTGGCCCCAACACTACGGTCCCAAATCAGCTCCGAGGAGAAGCCCAGGTGCTTCACACCACCGTCTCCCCCAATCTCTGCTTTTGGAAACAAACGGAAAGCAACCGTAGGCACCATAACCCCCAAAAGTGTCTCCAACCTCCCCCGGAACTTCACAAACGGCCCTGGGTTCAAGCTCAACCCAGCAGGCAGAGGCCCGTCACAGGCCTCTTACCCTTGGCCCCTCGATGCTCAGGGCCTGCCCAGCCTGTCGAGGGCTCTGAGAAGCGGGTCCCCGGAGTGCCCAGGCCCCAGCATCAGTCCTGGGCTCGCAGGGCGGCGTCCACCGCCACCTGGATGCCACCTGCCTGCACCCAGCGCTCGGTCAGCGCTCGGTGGGTCGCCGGAGGCCGGGCTCGCGCGCTCTCCAGGAGCCCCGCCGGCCGGCCCAGGAGCTCGGGCGAGGCCTCCTCCCTTGGCGCTGCGGGACCGCTCAGGACTCCCTGCTCTCCGCCTGGAATTCGTTGGGCCCGAATCTCCGTGAGGGGAGCGGCGAATCCCGCGTCCGCCGACCGCGCCTGGGCTGAGAAGGGCCAGGCTGGGGCTCCGGGGAAGTAGGGCGGAGGGTCACGGTCGGGCCAACCTCCCCCAAGTCTGCCCTGAACTCGGGAGATTTCGAAAGCGCGCGACTCCAGGCCTTCCACCTCGCCTGCCGGAAATAATAGATAGGATGCAGATAGTTCAGAACAGAAAACGAACCAAATAACCGAATAAGTGAGTGTGAAGATGCGGGGGGGGGGGGGGAAGAGAAGAGGAATGAACAGACCTGTCTGGGCAAAAAGGCCAGCTTCCTTCCTCGGCTTGAAGGAGCCACACGGACCAAGTTCCCGTGGCGAGTAAGCCCCACGGGAGCGAGAGAGTGAGCGGGCGGCGGCCTGCGGCCCCGAAGGCCGGTAGCGCCTGGCTCCTGGGGCCTTGTTAGGCGGAGGGTCGCACCTGGAGAATCTGGCTTAACCTGTTAACTATAATAGCGGCTTTGTGTCTCCGTATCCGTGCTTGGGGGTGTGTGTGGGCACTGCGCTGTCCTGACACCAGGCTGCGATGATGGGTGTGGGGTTCCTGCGGGCTCGGGACTCCCATGGGCACCCTACACTTGGTGAAGGCAGGTTTCAAGTGTATGAGAGGACTCAGCAGGGACTTTCTGGGGGGGCTGTGCTAGGTTAGAGCAGCTGGGATGCGGCCGCCGTGCTGAGGGATAGCTAGGGGACTGTGGCCCCAAGGCTGCTGGGAGGGCCCCTCAGTTAGATGCTGAAGAGGCTCCCTCCTTACTGCTTTGCTCCTCCCACTCTCCTCACACCCACGTCCACACCATTTTTTCCACTAGAGCAGCACACTAGCCCCCATCTGCTCCCTCGTACTTCTGAGCAGCCCCTCACCCTCCTTGGCACTCCAGGAGTGGCTTTGTCAGTTTGGAGCCTGGAACCCCAAGGCCAGGCTGCTTCCTGGGCAACTGGTAGGAGCTGCAATTGGTTTTCCCGCATGGGTCCAAACGGCTGCCAGGGACGTTCCCAGCCCATCCAAGGAGCTACCTACCCCCATTCAGCCCTGGCAGTATGGTCCAAGGAAGCCCCTGGCACACCCTCCAGCATCCATGCCCCCATTCCTTATCCTGAGGAGTCCCATAGGAACAGGCTGAGAAGGGCTGGAGCCAGATCGGGTTTTCCAAGGAGCTCACAGCAGACTGGAAGATGACGCGTGGTGGACTGGGGGGAGTAGAGGGCCCGCGAGAGGGTTATGGGGACCCATTTTGGATGAGAGCTGTGTATAAACTCACATTTCCCGCTCATAGCTTGCACTGCAGTGTACAACCTCACACACACCCTCCAACTATGCCACAACTGAGTGTATACTATTACACAAGGGAGCTACAGGTGTGCGGTGCCAAGGACGCACACGCAGATTTACGCACACACCCTTCGCTGCAGACGTCCGCAGTTACTCTCACAAGCTCACACCTGTCACCCCTGTGGCCACCCCTCCACCCCTCGGGGGTATCTCTGCCCCCTTTGTCCTCTCTGCCCCCAGCCGGGACGGAGGAGGGTCGACCTCTGAGCGCTGGGGGATTTCCTCGGCCCGCGCTTTAGCTACCAGTCCTGCAGTTAGGGCTGCGGGACCCGCGCCTGAGGTTGGGCTTGGGGATGGCAGGCCGTCCTGGATTCGGGCCAAGGACCCTAGTAAGGCTCAGGAGGTAGGATCCGCCACCTCCCCCGAAGCCTGCGGAAATCTGGCCTCCTTGTGTA